TCCGTCCGTGACTCAGCATCTCGGAGTGGGGTGCAGGTCTCAGTGGTTCTTTAAGGTCCTCAGGTGATTCCAACGTGCAGCCAAAGCTGCAGCCACTGGCTTCGGGCCTTGTCTGTTCCAGGTGTGGCCTCCAGGTCCGAAGCACTGGCACAGCCAGGGAGCTTGTTAGAAATGCAAGATTTCAGGCCCAACGCAGAGGTGCTGCATCAGAAACGTGGGGGTGAGTTCAGCCACTCCTTCAGGGGCCGCTGATGCTAGTTCAAGGGGGAGAAACTCTTGTAACTCAAAGTGGGTCCACAGGCCAGTAGCATCAGCATCCCCGGGATCTCCTGAGAGATACAGGGTCTCAGCCCCCCATCCCCAGACCCACTGACTCAGAACCTGCATTTTAACTAGATGCCCAGGTGAGTCAAGCACACAGTAAAGACAGGATCTGCCCTTCTTCCCCCTTCCCTGCTCCCTTCTGCTTTGGATTAGCTCTCATCTCACCAAGAAGGAGGCCACGGTCCTGATGCTCTGGTGCACGCAGGCCACTCAAAGGATTAAGGCCAGAGACACGTGAGCCCGGGTTACACACTCACTGACTGACTCAGCCACTGAGAGCAGGACCGGGTGACAGTTTAATGTAGTGCTTCTCAAACTTTAATGTGCTTGAGGACGACAGGCTCCCTGAATGTCCCTTAGCTGGCCCAGCCCCAGTAATGCTGATGAAATGGGTTGGGCCCATAAGTCAGCATTTCCACAGGCCATGTCACGCCGGAGGTCCCAGGATCACACCTGACTAACCCTGATTTAGTGTCAGCTCTGAAGCCAATCTATCAGGGTTCGAATCCAACTTTAGCATGCACTAACTGTGCAGCCCTGTGTCTCACCTGGCAGAGGAGCCTAGTGGTGACTCCAACCTCATTACTTGTTATAAAGAGGCAGCAGGTGGACAACTAAAGTGCTTACATGAGTGCCGAGTACAAGTGGACCCATAATTTTAAGTTTTACTACACACACAGGGATTCCCTGGTAGCTCAGGTGGTGAAGAATCTGCCTGCAATGTGGGAGACCTGGGTTCAATTCCTGGGTCAGGAAGATCCCCTGGAAAAGGGAACAGCTACCCACTTCAATATTCTGGCCAGGAGAATTTCATGGACCATCTAGTCCATGGGGTCACAAAGAGTCAGACATGACTCAGTGACTTTCACTTTCACACTACCACCAAAACCACAGCCACCACCATCCCTACCATCAGCAACTCCCACCACCAACCCCACTACGACATCACCCTCACCACCACTACCATCCTCACAAACACCATCATCACCATCACCACCTTCATCATTTCCACCACCAACACAATACTACCATCACCTGCAACACCACCACCTCTCTCCCCACCCCCATCACTACCACCACGTGTAAATCCTGTGCAGCTCCAGCCCTGGCCTGGGCTTCTTCCTCACCCCAAAGACCCCGAGGGGGCCAGCCTGTACTGGGCCTGGGGGACAAGAGAGGACCCAGCCCTGGCCTCACCCATGGTCACTCACGACCCATCCCACCAGCCTGGCCCACACAGGGCATTAGTGTTAGGACAGCCAGCCAGGGCACGGGAGCCTCAGGGTGGCAGTGGCCATGTTCCCCAAAGTGATTTTCTATCCCAGATCCCCAGGGCCCTGGGACTCTCTTCCCTGGGGCTACAAGGAATGTTTGAAGGAGGAGGCATCTCTTACCTTATCAGTAACCAATACCCATCACCACAACCACCCTCACACCACCACCACCAATACCGCCACCATCACCAATATCATACCCATCACCACTCTCCCCACCACCCCACCACTCTATCAGCATCATTTCCACCATCACTACCATCACCACCACCAAATTATCATCATCACCAACACCCATCACCACAACTACCCTTAAACCACCACCACCACCAATACCACCACCATCACCAGTATCATCACCATCACCACTGCCAGCACCAAAGCCGCTTTCACTGCCACCTCCATCATCAGCATCACCACAGTTACCACCAGCACCATCACCCGTACCACCACCACCCTTATTACCACACCATCACCATCACCACCCTCCCCAACACCCTCCCAGCATCACCATCACTACCACCACCACTGGGTATTCACAATACAGTCCCGGTCATCAAAGATTGTTAGCCTAGGTGGACAGGCAAACAAGAAACTGAGAGAGAGAGAGAGAGAATACAGAACCTACTGTCATGCAGACCAGCGGTCCCCAACCATTTTGGCACCAGGGAGTGGTGTCATGCAAGAAAATTCTTCCACGGACCTGGTAGGGGGATGGTTTGGGGTGATCCAAGCACATTACATTTACTGTGCACTTTATTTCTATTATTATTACATCATTTCCTCCTTGGATCATCAGGTGTTAGATCCCGGAGGTTAGGGACCCCTGGTTGGGGTCCAACTCAATTCAGTTCAGCATTTGTTCAGAGACAAATGCCAAGGAAATGAATGCAAAATAGTGATGGGTGTAGGAAGACGGAAAAGGAATCTTTACATGTCCTGCATGTTGGTGATTCAACCTCAGAAACCACCTAGGCCAGGTGAGATTAGGGCTGTGCTTCTTTCATCTCCAAATGTTAACTCCCGGTACAGGGCCTGGCCAAGGAATCAGGAATGAATCCACAGACTTGACTTTTAAAGTCACTTTCCTACTCAGTTTATGCTTCCATTAAATATGGAAAATGCTAATTTTGAAGTTGCTGAAGTGTATACTCTTACAGAGCTATGAAGATACCTAAAAGTTAAGCATTAGTAATATTCATCATTAATAACTGAAGCTAACAGAGAGGCTGAATTTCTCACTTCTCCACAGGCTCCCCAATTGATGCTGAGCACTCTGCCCAGGACACACCATGCCACTAGAGAATTCTCAGCCCACTCTCTTCCAGTAATGCAAATCCTCTGAAATCTCAGTCCAGTGTTCTAATGTCTATAGTCCTGCCTTCAGGCGAGCTGAGACCCCTCCGGCCTGAACCGGCGGGAGAGCTCAGGACATCTGCCCAGAGCAAGGGATGTTCCTGTCTACGCTCCCCAGCACACTGGCTGAGACGCCAGCCCCTCAGCTTTACATCCTGCTGATCTTTCAACTTCCTCCAGCTGGCAGTGCCCTGGCCCCTTGGCACCAACTGGGCAATCTGCAGACAAGATTAATAAATCCCAGCTGCAGAAAGCAGTCCCTCCTCTAATGAGGACGGAGCCGGGACAGGGCAAGATAATGAGACCCAGGCCAGGCCCATGTCTAAATCCTGTGCTGCTCCAGCCTTAGCCTGGGCTTCTTCCTCACGCCCAAGACCCCCAGCGGGCCAGCCTGTGCCGGACCAGGGGGAAAGGAGAGAACCCAGCCCCAGTCACCTTTGGTCACTCATGACCCATCCCACCAGCCTGGCCCACACAGGGCATTAGTGTTAGGCCAGCCAGCCAGGGCACGGGAGCCTCAGGGCGGCAGTGGCCATGGTCCCCAACGTGACTTTCTGTCCCAGATGCCCAGGGCCCTGGAACTCTCTTCCTCAGGGCTAGAAGGAATGTTTGAAGGAGGAGGCATCTCTTACCTGCAAGGCTCTGCTCAGGCAGCATCCTTGCCCAGGATGTTGGCCCTGCCCATCTCTTCACTCCACAAACACTGACTGTACATCTCCTGGACTCCCGGCTTGAGCACAGACGATGAAATGGAAACAGCTGCTGCCCTTGCATTACCCACGATTTGGCAGGGGCGGTGGCTTATAATCAGATGACTGCAATGAAGTAAGGTCAGTGCTCAGAGCCTGGAGGGCTTCATGGAGAAGGAAGCCCTTAAGTCATGTCTTCACGGAGAGGTAGGGATCCCAGATTAGCAAAGGATTAAAAAAAAAAAGACACCAAGCCCTACTAGCTGCCCTACTGGATGTGTGTGTGAATTTCTATGTGTTCCCACAAGCACAGGGGAAAGTTCTGGGGTTCCACCTACCACAGGTTACCCCACATGAGATGGAGAGAATTTATTTATTTCTTTATTCTCCTCTTTGTTTGAATAGTTACAATAAAAATATGACTTTGGTAATTTTAGATGTCAACACAATAAACATGTAAAGGCAGAAGAGAAATGAAAAATTTAAGGAAAGTTGACCCAAAAGGAAAGATTCTGAAAATGAAATGATTTCTCTAAAGGTAGAACGAACTTTGTCAAAAGTCTGTGTCTCTAATTCAAGACTGGTCCCCAAGAGGCTGATCAGAATGGAACTGTGGAGTGAGTAGTTCTCTCCACCTGGAGGTGATGGAGAAGCTGAAGAGGCCGGAGACCAAAGGGTGGATGGTGAACGTAGCCGAGCCTCCAAGCCTCTCCCGCTAGGAGTACAAATTGAAAAGTACAAACTCCTCAATTTGCAAAGTTTCAAAACTGCAGAAGAGTCCCAAGAATAGTAAAGTGAACTCTTCACATCTTCCCTAGACTCACCAATTGTTCATAGTTTCCCTCTGCTACTTTATCTATAAAGATGTTTCTATACATAAAAGTCTATTTTTATGAACCACTTGAAAATAAATTGCAGACACCATGAAAGCTCACCCTCAGTGCTCTGGCTTTCATCTCTTAACATCAAAGACATAATGTGATCACAACACAATTACCAAAACCCGGAGATTTTATCACTGATACGTTTCCCACTCCAATGTATGTCACCAATTGCTGCAGTGATGTCCTACTTAGCAAAATTATTCTTTTTCTTGACCCAGCACTTTAATTAAAGAGCAGTTGTATTCAGGATGAGGTTGTGTCTCTGTCAGAGGTACTCCAAACCACAAACAAACTTCCCTAAATAATCAAGTGGAAAAGCAAAACATAAAGACAATAAGAATAATAAGCCTCAATAGAATAATCTTTGACAAGTAGTAGGACAGGGCAGCTGGAAAGGCACCGTGATCGAGGATGATGAACCCTCAGGTGATACCAGCCCTGGTCTTCGGCTCTATGTCTAAGAAACCACATACCTGCAGGCATGACAGTGGGGTCCTTCTGTCCTTGGGAGCTGGCAGCCTGGGTCAGGTGGGCCACAGTACAGAAAAGCAGGGGATCTGGGCTCCCACCTCTCAACTGCTGAGTCTCACTGGAGAAGTCTCACAGACACTGTGGGCCCCATCTGTAGGGATGGAGTCTGGCCACTTCCTCACCCTCTGCCCCCTCATTCATGGCCACCCTGGGCCCTGCTGAGTTCTGATCCAGGGTCCCTGATCCGGGTGTCCACCACTACGTTTTTGAGAATTTGAAACAGTAAAATATATTCACAGACTGTCGTTGGCGCCTCACTGCCCTCAGGGTGAAAACCAAATTCCTTGGCTTGGATAAAGCCCTTCCTCATCTGTCCTCTCCTCCTTCCCCTGAATCCCCTGAGACTCTCCTCACCAGTATCCCAACTAATGTCAGAAAACAGCAGCCCTAACCAGCAGTGGTGTTTTCTCCAGAGGACTGATTGCTAAGGCCATGGAGGCCCAGAGAGGTTGAGGAACTGGCACAAGTTCAACAGCTCAGGAGAAGTAGAACCGAGGCACCAAGAAGTAAGCTCCAAACTAGAGCCCTTCTGCCCAAGTGAAAAGCAAAATGTTTCATCGACACAAGTCTCGACCTGCATGCTGCCTCTGGACAATGCTGGAAAAGACTAAAACAGTGGCTCAGAAGGTGCTGGGAATAAAGGTGAATGCTGATGGCTTTTTTCTTTATGAAATGCTTTCATGACTTCTGTATGGCTTTAAATTTCACGGTGGAAAAATAATAGTAACTAAAACTCCACAAGCACTAAGTGATGAAGACTCCCACAAGCATCTCACTATCACTACATCACTGACACACTATGCACAGGAAGCGGGACTGGTGGCCTGATGTCAGCTAGGAGCTCATCCCAGCATAGTGGGCACAGGCAGAAGTTCCCACTCAGCTCTGCCCAGGCAGGTGGACGTTAGACCAGGACCCTGCCCAAACTGGAGCATGCCTACCAATCCTGGACTCTCTCTGCACCTGGAAAAGTTTTCAGATCCTCATGTGTGTGTGCGCTCAGTTGCTCAGTTGGGTCTGACTCCTTGTGACCCCTTGAACTATAGCCCCTCAGGCTCCTATGTCCATGGAATTTTCCAGGCAAGAACATTGCAGTGGGTTGTCATTTCCTCCTCCAGGGGATCTTCCCAACCCAGGAATCGAACCCACATCTCTTGTGTCTCCTGTATTGGCAGGTGAATTCTTTATCACTGTGCCACCTGGGAAGCACCAATAAATGCCTCATGGCTCCCTCTAAAGAGTTTAAGAGATTAACTGTATATTATTTAATGATCATTTTTAATTCTGTCAAGACCCAATATCCTCTCTGAACCCCAGATTCTTCATCTGTATAAGAAATAGGAACACTGGCATCCAAAGGGCTATAAGTGAAACTCCTAATGGCAGAGGATGTGTTCTGCTCAGAAGATAACAGTGACAGGCAGCATCATTACCACTTCCTGACAATCTACTCAGTGTCAGATACCAGGCACTAAAGGTACATAGAAGAAGGCACAGTGCTACCCTGGAATGATTAGAGGCCTAATGTTGGGGGGTGGGGGGGTGGGGCACGGGGGGAGGACAATAAATTCCTAAAGGGCTAGTAGTTGACCTTAAGCACAGAAGGAAGCCACTGGACAGGTTTATGGCCAGGAGGACAAGGTCAGACACCCATGCATTTCTGACTGCTTACTCAGGGTCAACAGCGAGGGCTTCCTGAAGGGGAGCCCCCAGAGGCAGAGACAGTGTCCTGAGGCTGTGTGTCTTTACCTGGTAGGGGATGAAGAAGCCTGAGGGGACGTCATGGATGTGAATATTTCAAGAGGCAAAACCTTAGGAGTATAGTCCAAGTGAATGAGGACAAAGAATTACTAAAGCTTGAATTGAGCTGTATTTTACATTTTGAAAAGTGAAAAGAAAAGTGAAAGTTGCTCAGTTGTGTCTGACCGGCCCCATGGACTGCAGCCCACCAGGCTCCTCTGTCCATGATTCTCCAGGCAAGAATACTGGAGTGGGTTGCCATTCCCTTCTCTAGCGTATCTTCCTGACCCAGGAATCAAACCTGGGTCTCCAGCATTGCAGGCAGATTCTTTACCATCTGAGCCACCAAGGAAGCCCTATAGTTTACATTTTAATCTAATTTTAATCTCTTCAAACATCCACCAAGCTCCTTATCACTCCTACCAAGGGGCTACTTTTCTACAGAAATGGGAAGCAGCATAGTTTCAAGAAAACCAAGAGGATTGGGGCAGGGGTAGGGGGTAGCTGGTGATGGGCGGGAGTACGGGGTGGGGAAGTTAGGGGATTCGGTGAGATAACACTTCCCTGTTAACAAATAGAGAAATGGAGGTTCTCTGAGTCAAAGAACTGGCCTACGGTTCCACTGAACATGCAGGAAGACTGGGATCTGAACACAGATCTGTCAGGCCCCAGGGCTTACTCCATAACATCACCCAGTGGGTGAATCTCCTAGTATCATTGATAGCCTGGGTGGCCAGCAAGAGTTAATAGTCTTTCAAAATGGCGGGCAGGGAATAGTCTTGTTGTCATGAACAGGGACACCTACCTGGACACCCACTGGCATCCTGCAATCAGGAAGGGAGCTCAGGAAGGGAGGCTGTGTTGGTAGTCAGACATTAGGCTTCCTCAAGAGAAAAATAATTAGCAAACACTTATGTAGAGAAGGAGTGAGCCCCACACTCAGAAGGGATGCTGAGAAAGGCCATCTAGTCCTACTTCCCCATTGTACTGGCAGGACATGGAGCCCAGAGACGGTGTGTCTAATGCAAACGTACACAAGGAGGCGGGATCTGAACCCAATCCTCTGCTCTCCTTACCTTGGCCTCATGCTTAACCAAGTAAAGGTGTATAAGCCACAATACTGCCTGCTTCAGGAAGTCCTCCATGGTTGCTAACGCTCCTGCCCCTGAAAACCTGGGCTGCCCTAAAAAAGCCTGGACTTCCCTGTCAGACCCCAAGTTGAATCCTGGCTCCACTTCTTACAGGCTGTAGGACCGACATCAAATCCTGTTACCTGAGCCAAAGAAAACTGTCTCCGGAGAATGCTCCATGGATTACGAGAATTTAGGCCAGCCCTGTAGGGTCTGCTAAGAAAAGCAGCCCCTTCCATGGATGGACCCAGAGAGCAGTCACACAATAATGGCAGCCTTCCCCTGAATATCAATGCCAAGCCCAGTGCTCTTCTCCAATGCCACTACCCACATCAGAGCCACCACCTTATCTTCTCACTGGCCTGGGAAGCACTCGGCTCTGTCCTGACTGAGCGTCTCGCACGCTGCAGGTCGTCCCTCTATCCAGGCTCCTCTCCTCTGCCCCTGCCAAGCCTCCTCAACTCCAAAAGCAAATATCTGCACTAAAGCACTGAGGTTACCACTAACAACCCAACTCTGACTCCAGCCTCTCCCACTTCCGGCCAGCCCGGCATCACTTCCTGCCACTGACTTTTTAAAGTTGAGCCTGACCCCTCCCCTTCCGCTTCCTAGCACCGCCTCACCTCCTTGGCCACGCCCACCGCCTGCTTCCTGTCCCTGTTACAAAGGAATATTATGATGGGGATATTTTCAACACGGATTTCTCCACTTAAAAAGGAGGGCAGGCTACATAGTTGGTGCAGTATGAACTCCAATAAAATATAAAGCTAGCATATATGTTGAGAGGGCAAAATACGTATATATATATATATATATATATATATAAAGATTAGAGGTACTTTTCAAATACTTATTTTTGCTTTTATTTTTTTTTCAGGAAATGAAATCTTTTTGTTCAGTCCACATGAATCTGCTCTTGGAAGGACCCACTCCCAAACCTCAGCCTGTTATAATCCCCTTGCTGAGCCCACCCAGAAAGGTCCAGCATGGGTGGAGAGAAGGCAAGGCTTTCCTTCTTAGGGTCCACCATTCACTAACTCTGACGGTTAATGTCTTATGTAAACTCCCACAGCATCTGTTTCTTCCTACCTTCTCCGAACTGTGGTTCAGAGACCCATAGAGGAGCATAAAGCATCATCCAGGGGTTACTCAATAAATACCACAGCTAAGAGGTAGACTGGATGGATCAGGACAGGATGGTCCAGACCAAGTCCAGGGTGGCTGGCTTGGAGACCTCGTCCCATCTACCACCACCCGCCTCCTCCACCTTCCAGAAACCCGCAGGTGCCATCAACAGGACAGTGCTGCAAAGCCACAAACCCACAGGAAACCAGGCCTCTCGCCCCACACACAGCCACCTCCTCTTCAAAAGGTGACCCTACCCATCCTGCAAGCCAGAGAACAAGAGAAAAGTAGCTGAGGGTGGCCTGGAGTCAGACTGCATGGGTCTCTTGAAGCCTGACTTCTTTCCCTGAACCCTAAAAGCAGCAGTTAAACCAAGAGCTGCCATATATAGGAGCCTGCTCTATGCCAGGCAGTGTGTTGGGGATACCCATCTCAATCCATCCTCAAAACCTCCTTATGAAACAAGTAACAGTATGATCACCATTTGACAGATAAGGAAACTGAAGCTCAAAGAGGTGAAGTCGCCTGCCGAAGGTCCACAGCTTGTAAGTGGCAAAGCCAGGACTGAACCCAGGTGTGTCTGACTCGAAGACCACTTTTCAGGTGCCCAAAAATTGTCAGTTTTGTCTTCTATCCCAAGGACCCAGCACATGCCTGGCATGTTCTTAGAAGGCATCTAAGACCATTTTTAGGAATGAAGAGCAAGGCGCCTTCCTGCAGATTGTGCCATCCCCTCGAAGAACAAAGAATACTGACAGCATATCAAACATCACCAAATTAATAGCAATGCTTATATAAAACAGTAAAACTTTTTCAATCATGAAAAACTTCCAATATCATCAGAAAACCACCTACTTCAGTTCCCTACCAAACACAAACACAATTACTGATAAAATTGCTACTCATATTCAGGACCCACATAACAAAACTCTCATCAACTAGAGGAATGAGAATTATTTAGCGACACTCAGTAGAACATGGTGAAACTTCCTTTAGAACATTCTGTGCATGTGAGGTTTTCCTTTTTCTTTAGATTTTCACTGTAAAATCTTACCAGATCCTGAACAAGAGAGAAACTTCAAGGTGGGAAACAGCAATGGGAACCAATAACTGTGCTGCAAGGGAAATAAAGCATCATGGCAGCACCAACGCTCCTCTCCCATCAAATAGAATTTGATACAATTCCACAAACATGCACCAAGTAGTAGTAATAATAACAGTCGCTGCTTATGTAGCAATCTCTCTGTACTAGAAACTCTTCCAAACGTTCCAAATTCTCTATAATTCCACAGCCCCATGACATGGGTATTATTATTAGTGCCCCGTTTTAGTGTTCAGGAAGAAAAGACAGAAGTACTTTGACTGGGTGACATAGCTAGCAGGTAGGTGTGGGAGGTGGTACCCAGGTAGTCTGGGTCCAATGTCCACGTTTGTACCTGCTCTGCTGTGAAGATTCCAGGTGTCAGATATTGTGCTAGGTTGTGAAGATAGAGCCACAGGCTAGCCCGCGCACTGCCTTATCCACAAAAAGTCAAAGAAACTATGTTTACAATACTAAAGAAGCCACAGCTATTCTGCATACCTGGGGATAGATGGCTGCCACTCCTTAGGCAGCAAGAAGGTATCAGGTCTTTACATACATAATCCTGGTTCTCACGAGGTCCTGGAGAAGCTCAAGTTATTTTCCTCATTTAATAGGGACACAATTTCAGCTGAAAGCAAGTAAAGGACTTGCTCAAACCCCTTTCTGAATACAAAGCATTTGCTCTTTCTGCTGCTACTTGCTGACTCTTCACAAACTCCCTACACCATTTTGGAATCTCCCGTTTATTAATGTGCACGGGCCCCTTAACAAGTCCCAGAAAAGGCCCCAGCCATCAGGCCATTTCTCTCTCACCTCTCTTGAAA